TAATTATGGCCCAGCCTATATGCCTACTTGGAAGAAAAGATTTAATTTATTATGCTCCATGAACCATAATGTCTATGACATTGAGTAACCTAAGAATTTTTTATATTTTTACTGTTCAATGGCAGTAAAAATTTATATGAACAAGTCTTAGGAAATTGTTTTTTTGCTTATTTATATTTACTTTTAAAGAATGGATTGCTAAAAGATTCTTGTAAAATAATTTTGATGTCTTCTCTTAATTGGAGGTAGAATATTACTTTTCGTCTTTCACGTGAAGGGAAAAAGTGAGGGGGGAATCACTTTTGTATGATCAATCCATTCTTAACTTATTTCTTCTCTAGATTCCTTTTCATTGAGAAATTCTAGTTCTGATGGACTCTTGAGACAATCATTATGTAAACAGCAAGTTCTTGCAATCTGTCAAAACTGTATATATTTATCATTTCTCTATTCTGAGACTACTGTAGTTTCTTTTATGATATGCACAACTTTTTCCATCGTCAAATTTAGTATATATTTATTGCATAAGAAAAACAGTACAAAACAGTCTTGGAAGGAGAAGGAAACTTGTCTAATTCATTCTCCTTTGCAGTGCTGGAATTTCCTTCGTATTATGTTTAGCAAATGTGTCTTTTAAATTCCTCAGCCTGAAAAATTACTTGGAACTGTACATTTCTCAAGCCACTTCATTTTATTTTTGCAACAGTGTTAGAAAAGTTTTTACAATTAGATAAAATCTACCCTTGCTCACCCATTAGGAGTGACCTAAAATGAACAGTCCTTTCTCTAGAGAACAGCTAATGATTTCTGTTTTTTATTTGATACCGCTTTTTTCAAGAAATATGTCTTTGTTTTTCATTGGAAATAAATGTTGTTAAGGGAATCAAAGAATGCTTTTCTAATATGTCTGGCAGAGGAGTTTCTGCTACTTCCTCTCCCCTCTCAGGAACTCTTCAGAGATGCAGTGATTGACCTAATCAAGCATATGCTTTTTTTTCTTTAGATTCAATAGATTTTTCTTTTTTAACTTTAGAATTTGTTTATTTAGTTATTTATTATATATTAAACTTCCAAACTTTTAAATAGCCCATGTTAGGGAATTTCTATCACATTCAAGTGGCAACTAAAGTGTTCAGTTGCCCTGGATCATCTTGTTTAGTTGGTCAGAATTCTGTGTGAAGATGTATGAAAGCTGCTGGTTGGTAGCTCTGGGAGGGAGGAGAAGTAGTATTGCTGCTTCTTCACTTTTCATCACGGATCATCTTGGGTATCTTGATTCTTCTCATTACTTTTTAGAACAGAGATCAAACTCTTTGTAGAGTTGGGGATTTTTACTTTCAGGCAACAGAAATAGCCCTGAATGCACTGACAAGGGAAAAATCTGAGAAGTCAGGTCTGAGGGAGGCACATTTGGAGGGATGTGTGGGGGAGACCGTGTGACCTCATTCTAAGAAGTATTCTGTGAGAGAAAACTTCCAGCCTGGCTGTCATTCTCAAATTGGCTTGACACATCATTTACAGGTCTGTTGGAAGTCAAATTGCTTTGTTTTATTGCCCCCCATAAAGATGCTGATTTAATTCAGATCTCAGAATCATTAGTGGTTTTCTCTGCCCATGCATATTACGGGTTTGTTGTCAATGTTTTCCAGGGTGGGAAGTGGTGGTGATTTTGCTGCAGATCTTGCTCTGTCTTTTCTCATGAAGATAGTCAAGGGAATTAGTATTGTATCACAGCTGTCACTCCCTGAGGATTCCCTCTTGTGTGTTTTAAAATCTCTACTGGATGTTGCCTTTTTGTAACCTTTTATTTCTAATTCATATTTGTGAATTTTCTGTTTCTTAAATAACCTTGCAAGACTTATTAATGGTATTTTTCTAGCTTCAGTAATTGTTTCTATTCTCTGTTCTATTTCATTTTTAAATATTGCCTTATGATTATGATTTCTTGTTTATCTTGATTGTTTTAAACGTTCTTGATTTTCATGTTTAACTCATTAATTTTCAGTTTTTCTTCTTTTAAACATTTAAAGCTACAAATATTCCTATAAGTATTAATTCAGCTTTATCAAGTGTGGGGTTTTTTTTGTTTTGTTTTTTTTTGAGATAAGCTCTCACCGTGTAGTTGAGACTGACCTGGAACTCCCTATGTAGCCCAGGCTGGTCTCAAACTCATAGCCATCCTCCTGTCTCAGCCTCCCGAGTGCTGGGATTATAGATGTGCACCACCAAGCCCGCCTAAGTGGGTATTTTTCCATTATGTAGACCTAATATATTTTCCAATTTTCACTGTAATTCCTCTTTGATCCTTGAATTGTATGACAGTATACTTTCAAATTTCTATGTATATGAGATTTCGCCAGATTTCTTTTTGTTACAGTTTTCTAATTTAAATCTCTTGGGATTGAAGAAAATGTTCTATATAATTGATTTTCTGGGATTTTTGAATTTGGTTTACATCCTAATTTTGTATATGTGGATACTTTCAATAAAGAGTCTATGGGTGGGCTGGGGATTTAGCTCAGTGGTTCCGCCGCCTGCCTTTCAAGAGCAAGGTCTCAAGTTTGTTCCCCAGTACCAGAAAAAAATAGAGCCTGTGGGTGCCGGGAAAGAATACATGAATACAGCTGAGCATTGTGGAGCATGCCAGGAATCCCAGCACTTGGAAGGCTGAGGCAGGAGGATTGCCACAAGTTCGAGGCCAGCCTGGGCTATGTAGTGAGTTCCAGGTCAGCCTGAACTCACTGTAAGGTTTGAGACCTTGTCTCAAGAAAAAAAACCCAACAAAGCAACAACAACAAAAATGAATATACATTCCTATAACAGGTATAACTAACTCATAGAGCTATTTTTTATTTATCTACTTGATCTGTGGATTCCTTGAAGTTTATAGGTTTTTTTTTTTTTTTTTTTTTTTTTTTTTTTTTTTAATAATAGCTAACTCTTGTATTTATTCTAGTCCAGGAAATATTTTAAGGTCCTTACATGAGTTAAGTTGTTGTGTATTGGTTATTTTTTCCTTATAGAGATCTGTAACTTGGACTTTATATGTTTTGAGACTGGGTACATTTGTTACTAAGTACATGTGTTTTGACCTTCTTGATCTATAATAATGAATTTAACCTTGAAATCTTTTTTTCTGGTATTGATATAGTGACACACTTTTTTCCTAGTTAGTATTCTAACTAGAATATTCTAGTTAGTATTTCTAGTTAGCCAATGTTTATGCCTTTTTGCTTGAAATGTGTTTCACGAAGAAACTGGACAGACTGAATTTTTATGTAATTTTATTTACAAATCATAGTATAGTGTGGCGATTAAAAACAAAACTTTAGAGCCAGATTGGTTTTGGTTTTTTGTCTGGAGGGTTCTGTCTGATAACTAGAATTTAAAAGTAGGAGCGGGAGGCAGTTTGACTTTTCTTTATTTAGACTTTTAACATTTCCCATGTTTTATACCCTAATTCTCATATTTGTTCTTCCATATGAGAGGTATCTGAATGGCTCTGATTTTTTTATAGATTCAGTCTCTTTCAGAGTAACATGTCACATTCACTTAATTGTATACTTCCTTAATCAATTTGTACTACAATATCTACATTTTATTTCTTGAAAATATATTGAAGCATCTCAAAAGTGGGCCTAATAATAAAATTGCTAACCTTATAAGTTGACTTCAAGGCTGGGAATTTAGCTCAGTGGTGCCACTGCCTGCCTTGTAAGTGCAAGGTCCTTAGTTCAATCCCTGATACCCTAGCCCCAAAAAAGTTGGTTTCAAGTTTACCATAAGTTAGTAAAGAATGTGGAGTACCTGTACCTCAGTAAATGCTTAGGTAAAATTGTTTTGTTTGCTATTGATATATTGTAGTTTGTCTTTTAGCATTTTTGGCCACCTTGAAACTACCGACTGTCCTGTTTGTGTTTGTCACTAGTAATGTTACTATCAGATTTATTATTTTTATTTTATAATTCAAGTTCTTAAAAAATATACTTTTTTTTTCAGTAGTGGGAATTGAACTCAGGACCTTGTGCTTGTGAGGCAGGCGGCGGAACCACTGAGCCAAATCCCTACCCCAAACATTTACTTTTTTGCTGTCAAGTGATTTAGTAGAGACATCTCTGAAACATTTCAATTCGATCTGTGAAAAGTAATAATCAAATTTAATATAATTTAAAAATCATTTCCCAGGAGTATGTTCATAATTAAACTATATAATTTAAGACATAAAATTTTATATTTAAAGGGTACAGGTTGTGCCTCTAATCCAAAAATCCAAAAATCTGAAATACTCTAAAATCAGAAACTTTTTTAGAGCTAACATGATTTTATAAATGGAAAGATTTTAAGCTATCATCATGCGATGGCTCACAATCCAAAAATAGGCCTACTAAAAATATTGTATAAAATTTCCCTAGTCTGTGCATGAGGTGTCTATGAAATCTAAATGAATTTTGTATTTATACTTGAGTACCATCTCCAGAATATCTCCTTATGTATATGTAAAATCTGAAAAATCTCCAAAATTTTAAACTCTTTGGTCCAAGCATTTCAGATAAGGGATGTTCAACCTGTACTTTCACCTAGTCAATATACTGGATTTGAAATTACATATTGAGAGATTAATGTCTCCGTGAAGTGAAGTTTTCTGTCTAAATGAGACACTGTAATATTAATTAAATTTATGTCCCATATAACATTATTGGTGGTAATGGTTGCAAAACAATCTGAATGACTTAAATGCCTTTAAAAGTGGTTAATATGTTGTTTTATGCTGTGTATCTTATTGCCACATTTTAACAAATGAACATTAGTCATTGTGTAAATGTCACACATCAAAGGTGAAAGAGAATGATCATTAATGTGAAAATCTAAATCATAAAGACTATGGAGAATGAGCAGAACTTTAGTGTCAACATACTGACTTACGTTTTCTTTTCTCAACCATGTATGTCTCTTATTCATTTTCTAGTATGGAATTATTATTATTACTATCTTTTGAACAGGAAGGAAAAGCTGATGAGATGCTCTCAATGCCGAGTTGCCAAATACTGTAGTGCCAAGTGTCAGGTAAGACTCTTTAGCTGTATATCAATGAAATTTTCAAATTCTTTGCTTGTAAATTTGTCCTCCATTGTATGTGCTGTTCTGTTTGTCTCTTTGAACAATCTTTGTGAACTTATTTTTACTTGATATATTTTCTTTAGTTTTAAAATTAATACATATACAGTTTGAGTATCTTGCATCTAAAATGCTCAGGATCAGAAGTGTTTCAGATTTTGTAATTTTTCAAATTTTAAAATATTTGCAATTTAAAATACTAGTTAAGTATCCATAACCCAAACATAAGAAATGTTTTACAGTTTGGAGTTAGACTTCAAATATTTGGACTATCATTGTTCAACCTGTATACAGTAAAAATTATGAATCTGTGTACATATGTCTGCTTTGTGAAAGTTAATGTTTGCTTCTTTTCATCCTTTGTCCTCCTTACCTTAATCCCATTTTCCATTGGTGACCACTGTTAATTTTTGTGTGTATTTTTGCAACATTTTATTATACAAACACATTTAAATATCTATATACTATGTTTAAATTACTCTGGTAGAAATTCCTGTATAGTTCTCTCTTTAATAATCTATTTGGAGGAACATTTGCCTCATTCCATGTATTCCATTACATGGATTGTAGCATACTCATAATTTCCCCTTTATAAATGCTTATAATTTTCCAGTATTTGTTATTGCTTATAATGCACACAGTATCCATTTTGTACATTTTTGTATACTTTCTTGATTAACTGTAGGCTAAATCTTCTTATTTATATTTGTTTGTGAAAGGATATGTGCTTTTTGAATTTTCAAATGTAACACTAAATTACCTTCTAAGAGTTTAAATTAATTTACAGTGAATATGGTTGTTAATATCTTTGAAATTCTTTAATGATGTATAATTCAACATGACCTTTTCTTCAAACTTTATGATTAATCATTTAATAATAAAAGTAATTATGCTCTAATGAATTATATCATGTTACAAAGTTTAATTGGATGTTTTGTGTCTGTGTCACTTGCCTTCCTTCTTCCACTCATCATTCTTGTTTCCTCCTTCGGGGTGCTGTGTGTGTGTGTGTGTGCGTGCATGTGCATGTATGCCTATTCATACCCTTGTAGAATTTCTTCTTTTCTTCCTTTAAATCTAGGTCAGGAATATCTGAAGAATGTTATCTCTTTTTCTCCTTTGAAATAAATTTCTTCAGAATACAAATAAAATGATCTTAATAGAAATAAGTATAAAATCCAAAAATATCAGGGGTTTCATGTTTTAAAGCTATTTCTGCTAGTTGCAAGTTCAAATCTCTCAGAGAAAACACAAACTCATGGATACTCATTTTCTGAATTTGCTGATAATAAGTGCCAGTATCTACTAGAAATGTATGTGGTAGGCTCTATTTATTCCATTTAATTTTACAAGAAACCTGTGAGAATTAGGTTCTATTCCTATGCTCATTTTATCAGTTAGGAAATTGAGGTTGGAGAGGCAAGCAACTTACTAAACATCCTATAATTGGTAGGTTGTGGAGTTCAGGAAATGAACCTAAGTAGTTCACCTCTAGATTTTTAACTTATAAATCTAAATTTTGTTCTTGCTCTAACATTCTGAATAGGTCTAGTTTTCTATTATCTATTGTATTCTTTTGGTTCCTGGCTTTTTACTTGATTTATTGATTACTTCGTTGGGTGCTGGGGATTGAAGCCAGGTCCTGACACATGTAATGCAAAGTGGTTTACCACTGAGCTGTACATACTCCTGCTGTATATTTTTAAATTTTTAATAAAGATATTCTCCATTACCACAGTATGCAAAATAAAAATTTAAGAAATTTAACATTGTTAGTAAAGACAGGAGATGTTAAAATAATTGAATTACTTTCCCCTCTTTTTGTAAACCAACTATTCTTTTAAAGATCCCTATTTTATGTAAGATAATTAGCAACAACAATAACAATAAAAAATGAAACAAAGCTTTGCTTTTTACAGAATAAATTCCAGAAATGCTATTTTATGGTGATATTTCATTTCTTTTATTTAGGTGAAACTGAACTACATGTTTCCCAGAACTTTGTATTAAGCAAAATGCATATAGAACTGATGAATTCTCATATTATTTGATACACATCCTTTAGATGAACTTTCTTGGGGCTGGGCTGTGCCTCAGTGGTAGAATACTTGTCTAGTATGCTCAAGGTTCTGGGTTTAGTTACCCAATACCACACACACACTCACACGCACACACGCACGCACGCACACATGCACGCAGATGAACTTTGTAATTGTAGTGGCCTGTTTACATTTATTTTCATTTTTTTAATGACTGTTTTTTTCTTTAGAGCTTCTTTCTCCTTTTGTAGTATATATAAGGTGAAAGGTCATTATTTAATTACAATGAATGTTGGGAGTTTGTTGGGTATGTCATTTTGATTCATTATAGTGTATATGTTTTTACTACATATATTAGCTACTTATTGTAGCATCAGTAATGTCATTGTCAGATATACTGTGGAAGGTAATGGCAAAATAGCTAGTAAGATAAAAGATGTAGCACTAGCTCAAGTATGTGTTCATGCGTATGTGATTGTGGGGATGGGTTTTTATGTGTGTAGTGGTGGGAATCAAAGACTGGGCAGGACATATGCATTTAAACTGCTCTATTTAGCTCAACCTTAAAGTTCGGGATTAAACATTGTAATTCTCGTGGATACCTATAAAGCAGAACAAAATTAAACTGATAAACTGAACTATAAACAGTAATGAACAGGAGGCAAGTAAGTGGAATAGAAATTGATAAACAGAATGTGAGTTTGTAGCATAAAATCTATAATATGTATACCCCAGGGGGCTATGACTTTGGTATACTAACTTAGCCTTTGATGTGTGGGGCTGCAGTATCAATGAGCTGTCTGAGAGGTTTTTGGAGTATTTCAGGGTCTAATATGACCCTTGTGTCCAGAGGGTGGTAATATTGTCATTAATATTCACTTTTTTTTTTTTTTTTGGTTTTTTGAGACAGGGTCTCACTATGTAGTTGAGACTGACTTGGAACTCACTACGTAGCCCAGGCTGGTCTCAAACTCACAGCGATCCTCCTGCCTCAACCTCCCAAGTCCTGGGATTACAGGAGTGCACCACCACGCCCGGCCACATTTCATTTTTAAAGATAACCAATACAAGAATGTATTTTCATTTTGAAATTAACATCACATAGAGTTGCACAGAGTAAAAATAAAAGTCTTTCTCTAGTCTCTTTTCCCTATTTTAATTTTTCTAGAGGTAGTCTGTCTGTTTTCCATTCTTTGTACATATCTGTTTACTACTGTGTATAGCACGATTTCTGAAACTGATAAAATATTTTGTCACTATTTACTTTGTATTTCTATCTGTATCTTATTGTGAAATGTCTACTGTAAAATGTCCCAGAGGGGGAATCAGAGTTTTCATATTAGGGCGGTTATAATATCATTAATTGTGAGATTGAGGAAGAGGAGCAGGCTAAGTTTTCATATAAAAAAGCATGATACCCAGGAGATTGAGGCAGGAGGATCAGAGATTTCAGGGCAGTTTGGGTAACATAGCAAGTTCCTGTCTCAAAATAAAAATAATTTTAAAGGAAATTTGGGCAGTGTAGCTCAGCGGTAGAGTGCTTGCCTAGCATGTGTAAGGACATGGGTTCTATCCCTAGTATCTCAAAAAAGGGGGAAAGAAGGAGAGAGCAAGTGAAAGAAAAGCCTGCCGAAAGTAAAAAATGTAAACTGATTTCAAGCAATTTCACTAAGTCTTATTTCATTTCTTCTGGATTTAAGTTGATGCATACTATGCATATTTCAAAGAGAATTAATTGCCGAGTAAAATATAAAGCTAGATTATCAAATTGATGTTTATACTCTTTTTTTTTTGCTGTTGTTTTTTGTTTTTTGAGACAAGGTCTCGCTATGTAGTTGAGACTGACCTGGAATTCACTATGTAGCCCAGGCTGGTCTCAAATTCACAGTGATCCTCTTGCCTGAGTGCTGGGATTGCAGGCGTGTGCCACCACCCCTGGCTTGCTGTTTATATTCTTTTACAGAGAACTGTATTAGCAGAGAGAATCTTTATTTTATATTGATAACATGTCAAATGTGTCAAATTTTGGGGTTTACATTTATGCTTCATTGTGGAATGATTTAATGTGTATCAGGTCATAGGATAATTCATCAGTTTTGTATGCATTCTGCTTATCTGAAGTAGAAAGTCCCACATTAGTAAGCATTAACAGGATAATATAATAATGTTCTTTATTGAAATATCATAATCAAAGTGATATGAAGAAACCCAAGCCCTCTGTTTATTTCATGAATTCATCCAGGCTAGGACTCTGACCAATAGGATATGAATGTAATGTTTTGATCCACTGTGACAATGTCTTTTTTTTTTTGGTACCAGGGATTGAATTTGGGCCCTTGCACTTGTGAGAAGCAGGCAGCGGAACCACTAAGCCAAATCCCCAGCCTGTAAATTGAATTTTTTTTTCTATATCAGGGATTGAACTTGGGTCCTTGCACTTGCAAGCCAGGTGGCAGAACCACTGAGCTAAATCCCCAGCCCAACAATCTGTCTTTTAATTGGTACCTCTAGACCACTGATACTCAGTGATTCAATAATCAATAGTCAATTGACTATCTACTGTATTCATTATTGTTTCCCATTTGTTATCCTTTCTCTTCATTTTTGTATTTGTCTTTCATTATTTTTTTCTGCCTTTTATGGTTTTAATTGAAGATTTTATGATTCTGTTTTTTTTTTCTTTACTAACTTATCAATTATATTTCTTTTTACCTTTTTGGGGTGGGTTGCAATATACATTTATAGCTAATCTTAACCTGCTTTACTACTTCATTGGTAACAAAATAATCCCAATTCTTTCTTCTGCTCTCTCATTTCTTATTGCTGCAATTTGTTTTACTTATACATGAGCATATATAATCAAATATTTTGTTATTAATTTGACTATTATCTACTAGATAAATTAAGAAT